ATCAGTTCTAAAAATCCTTGAGATATAGTAAAAAAGCTAACCTGTAATCTGGTCTGAAGTCATGGCCCCACTTAGAAACACAATGCACCTCATCGATGGCAAACAAAGCAATTCCACGGATCTCACAGAGCCTCTGAAGAGATTTTATTAATCTGAATAAGATAGAAGCTATAATTCAATTCAAGTCCCAGGGTTAACAAATAACAACAATTATTTCATCAAGCCTTCTTTGGAGACAAATTCGTGTATCAAGTTAAAATCTTCACATTGTTGACTAGTGTTGCATTGTGAATCATATATTTTACCTTAAAACTGTCTCTGGGCAAACATAAATGATGGAGTAAATGCCGTTCATTGCTTTCTTTTCAACACTGTTGTCTGGCTGTCCAGATCCAAGAAAGCATGCAGACACTCCATGTTTTGCTAGCTTTAAGCATTGATCATGCATCAAGCTTATTAATGGAGAAATCACAACCACAACCTTCCCAGTTAAAAGTGCAGGTAGCTGAAAACATGTAGATTTCCCTGCATGTAAATGATGATTTCAGTACACTTCATGAAGTATGTACATCTAATACAATTTATAATACACAAAAGGCAAAGAGAAGACACATTATAAATACCAGACCCTGTTGCTGCCAGAACTAGACAATCCTGATGGGCTAACCAAGCACCCAGCGCTTCCTTTTGAAAACTCTTTAGTCCTGAATATCCAAAATGCTTTTGCAATAGTTTGTTAGCTTTCTGGTCCCAATCTGGTCCAATTTTCATATCATGATCTTCTCTCTGCAGTGGGTACGAGCCACATGGTTGATAGAATTCCGGAGTAAAGCTTGCATCAAGAGATTGATCTACACGAGTATTTTTGTCTTCTTCCTGTCCTACAAAATGTTTATTTAACAAATCCTTCTTGGAATTTGATACCACAGAACTCCTGCTCTTCTTTGGCTTGCCTAGAGGTTGAAGATGCTCCATTATGCTAGACTGTCTCATCTGACCAGATGGGCATGACATGGAAGATGATCTTTTACCCAAATTTTTTGACTTATTTCCTGGGGCGGAATTATTGGGAGTGATTGATACACCTCCATTGTTCTTAGATGAATGATTCAGTATGTAATCAACTGCTTCATTTAAAGTTGGACCCACGGCCTCTACAGCTTCCATAGCTTGAAAACTTTCGAAACCCATGTCAATAAGCTTGGTAACGATTTGGTCTGTAGACCCATGATTTCCAGCCATAGCATTAAGCTGCTCACAAGAAAATGCAAAACACTTCTTATGGCAACATTTTCACTCTTTCAATTTCTACCCCTTTTTACAAGCCACGCCATTAATCAGCCAGAGACTTCATTCAAATCATAATCCACTTTATCAATGGGGGTGGAGCAAAAAAAAACAAATGCACGGAGAAGATGCAGACAAATTCAAGAGATAGACCGGGTCCATATAATTAAAACACAAAATACATAATCCCTAATCGTGCTCAAGAAAATAAACTACGACGAATTTGAGTTTTATACTAAAAATCAAACGCTGATGTTCAAAAAAGTATGGATAAAATTTTCCTTCCACTCACTCAGATTGAGGGACGCACCGCGCAAATGCATTGATGTTCGAGTGGAATGCTTTTTCAGCTTTGTGCCCAGAATGTAAATCGGATATGTTTCATTTTCCGCTCCTAGCTCATTTTTTTTGGGTTGAGGCCGGGGCAAAATGGGCACTAAGAAATTGAGATCCATAAACATTTAGAACTCCCGAACTTATGATAAAAATATGACTTTGCATTTGTTTGCATATCTTTCCATACATGATTGATTCCATTTTTAGTGTTAGGTGAAATACAAAAACAATTTGAGTTTGATATTTCAAATATAACAAATCTTTTAAATCAATAATTTTGGCATCTCTCTAATTTAATGGGATAAACTCGGTGTACCCCTTAAAAGTCAGCTCTACGTAGATAATCAATAACCTTCAGGTCCGTGAAATTTGAAATTTGTAGGGATATGACCGACACGGTTCTACTTTTGCATCAATATATGTCGGGTCATTCCAAATACCGAGAGAACGATGAGCCGCTTGTAAATTTAATACTCCGGAACTTTTTGGTCCAGCGAGATCTCTTTCCACTTCATCCATCACACTAATACATAAAAAATGTTTCATTTGTTCAATACTACTTCTGTCAATTGTTTTTACTTTATCATATTCTCACTTATTTTCACTTTTTGAAATTATTTAATTTATGAATCGGTATATTAATAAGAAATAAAAATTACATATTAAAAAACAACATCAAAAGTTCTACAAGACAAGAGGTGACAAGAATATTTTATTTTATCAAATACTTAATGAAATCGCATAAATAAACTTAAGTTATCGAGAGAAAAAAGAGAAAAAATTGTAATCAAAATGGGGACGGAAGGTGTATTTTGTACTCCGTAATTAAATACCAATTAAACAAAATGTATATTGAGGGATACATACGGAGTATTCAATGCTTCAATCCACCCCACCACCACATTAAAGCAACTTCAAAAATAAGTTAACTTTTTCAGAAAATTTGGGATTTCAAATCCCTTTTTTATGCCCTATTTTTTTTGTAATGTCTCTCCTTCAAGTTTCATAACATACGAGTATATTTTACTACTCATACATGCTAACCCGCTTAGAGCAACTCTAATGACAACAGGTATTTTAATTAGAGACGTATCTATCTTCTTTTACTTCTCCAAAAAGTGAAATTTACCTTCTAAAAAAGTGTGTAATTCCAATGGAAAAGAATGGTAAATTAAAAAAAGGCAAACTAATCAGGTAAAATTTACCATCTTTTATACATTTCCTATTCGAGTTGCTGTTACTCGGGTATACTTGCGTGTATATAGTGCGTTACAGCATTACCTACTTTATATAGCCCCTGTTTTACCCGCACGGGTAGCTCAAGTGGCAAACAATTGGTGAAGTTTGGAGAATGACCAAGGATCGAAATCTGACAGCGACCGTTGTGGAAGCAACCATCTCTGAAAAATGGGGGGAGTCTCTGGTGCGCACTAGGATATGGTCTAGTTAAGTGTTGTGCTTGGGTCACCGTGATTTACTTCCTCTCACATACCCGTCGGGTCGGGAGTGAGGGGCGCCCGGGGTGAGCGATTTCACCTTTTGGAGAATATAGCCCCTGTTTTTGTTGCTTAAATTGGGTTTATTTTCTCTTTCCTTTTGCATTTGCAACCTCGTTGTTGTTAAGTTGTTGTTTCCCCTTTTTCCACACAAAGCGAAAGCGGTGGAGGATATGAGAAATTTTTGGTTTAATTTCTGCCAGCTTTTATACATATGCACACACCATCATGCATCTATGACGTTGCTGATTTGTTTTTTTTCCTTTGGTTTATGTGTGGGTCATTAATTTATGTAGGAATGTGTGTTTTGGAGTAAAAGATTGAGTTTTAATAGAATTTACTATTTAAACTTGGACAGGGATCACTGGATTGGACCATAAAGCACTTGAGTTGAACCACATTAAAATATTAAATCTAATACATAAGTTAACTCAAGTGAAATACTCCCTCTGTCCACCATAGATCTTCCCAGACACTATTCATAGGGTCAAACTTTAATCACTTTGTTTGCTCATTTTTACTAGCTATTTCATAAAATAATATAGTTTTGTCACCTCTAGTTTTGTAGAACTTTTCATTTAGTTTATTACTATATAAATTTTATTTTATAATTTTACTCCTATAATGAATTAAATTGAATTGAAAATAAAGTTGGTCAAGCCTCGTAACGCGTAATGGGAAGATCTTACATGGACGGAGGGAGTATTAAAATATTCTAGTATGTGAATAGAATTGGAAGATGATAGAACTCAAAATAAGTCACTAAAATGAATCAAACTTGACCAACCCCATCTGAACCCAAAATGACCCTATAAATTGATCAGTCATGATCTGCCTCTTGCCGCCACGAGACTTCCCTTGGCTACATTTCAGGTCAGTATTCCTCGCCACTCTCGTGATTGAATAATAAAGAATACTTTGCACGGTTCTCATCACCTCTTATTTTGTAGACTTTTATATGTTGTTTTGATATTTATGAATCTTGTTTGTCTTTAATTCATTCTCTTTGTGCTCTTTTAGTCCCATAACAAGTTTTCACTTTTTACTTTGGTAGTCAATTTTTTATAACTTTGATCACAAACTATTATAAATACCTTGAAATTCTGGTGTTAGACACCAATATACTACTACCTCCGTCCCACTCTATTTGTCCTATTTTGACTTTTGGAACTGTTCATCTAAGCACTTTGACTCATCAAATTCTCTCAATGTGTAAGCCTAAATATAGTCATGTGTGATCTTGTTTCATTTGTCTTAACATATAGATTATTAATATATAATTTCTATAACTTTTTAATATACAAATTACAAGATAAAATGGATTAAAGAAGTGCATTGGATGGTGTGCCAAAAGGTAAGTGGACAAAGAGAGTGTTACGGAGGGAGTATGTATTAATTTTGGATCATACTCCCTTTGTTCCTTTTGAATCTTTCCAATTTTATTTTCAAGGTTAATTTTTTTAAACTTTGACTACAAAGTACAAAAAAATAGAGTAATGCTAGAGTCACAACAACAACTCACAGAATTTACAAACGTGCTTTTTTAACATTTTTCTAGAAATAAGATGCATTTAAATAATAAAACATATTTTAGTTTAAAATTCACAAAAAGCAAGTTTGTGAAGTTTTGAGATGTTGTTTGTGACTCTAGCACTTTCTAAAAAATACATTGACTTATGATATAAGTTTAATATCAATAAGTTAATTTTGAAACATAGTTTTGAAATATTACTCTTTTATAATACAAAACTATGTATAAATAAAAATATTGATGGTCGAAATGTTACATTAAAGACCGTGAAAAAATTAATTAAAAAATTCAAAAAGAACAAATGGAATAGTTCAAATATTATTTCTTTAAAATACACGATTATATATACATAAATAAAGATATTAATAGTTAAAGTTTTTCATTGAATGCCGTGAAATATGAAAGGAGGTGTTATAATTATGCTAGTGAAGGGATTATTAAAAAGTAAAATTTGCACTAAATAAGACTAAAACATAATGACTTTCCTAATGTAGGACTTAAACTTTTTTATTCCCTAAATAAGACTTAATAATGACCTAGTGGAAGAAATAATGTCCAGTAATGATGGACATTTAGTTTTATAATGACTACTTGATAATGACCAAAGGTCCTACATTGGGAAATAAAAACATATGGTCATATATTAGAAAAGTCATTACGTTTTAATCCTATTTAGGTAAATTTCTCTATTATAAATTTATTATGTCCCATGGATATTGGATACAAGGAAATAAAAGCGCCAATGCACCGCTTTGATTGATTTATACTCCGGGGTATGATTGATTGCTGAATATAACTTAAAGACCAACAGGTAAAGGCATGCGGGGATGTAGCTCAGATGGTAGAGCGCTCGCTTTGCATGCGAGAGGCACGGGGTTCGATCCCCCGCATCTCCATAATTATATTTACTTTTAACCGTTTTTTTTTTTGGGATTTGCGACGCCCATATTTCCTTTGCACAGAAAAAGTTTAATTAAAAGGTTAACTTCCTGACTACTAGTCACAACCTTCAATCCATTTCTTCTCAAAATTTTTATATGTCTCTCTTTATTTGCAGAAAAAAATTATTAGTCAATCAATTTTTTCTCTCTAAATAATAATTTAATATTCCTCACCTTTTCTTTTTCCTCTATTCTCCTCTCATTTCTAAACATTCTTCTCTTTTTTCTTTCACTACATCATCTTATTTATCTCTTCATTCCTCTCCACTAGTGACACTTTCGCGCCATAAAAGTACAACATTTTCTGTCATTTAGAAAAAAGGCACTGTTTTCAAAATTAGATTATGTTCCGTTCAACTTAATTTTTCACTTTTCTACTTATTTTATTAAAATTATATTTGAAACAGTTTTAAATATAATTACAATTAAATCAAGCTAAATTTTCAAAAAATAAAATAAAATCAAGCGAACAAAACGTTGCTTATTCATAAAATTCTCCTGATTTCAAAGCGTTATGCATACATATCCTATGATCATTTCGAAGCTAATATCATGGGTCCCCCCATCGTTTACAAAAAAGGATCAAAATCCTCGTTCTTTACAAATTAATTACGAAAAGAGAATTTCTAAATATGATTAGAGTAGCTGGATATGAGCTCGGTACTGTAGAGGTTGTTTGTAGTATGTTGTGTTTGTTTGGAATCTTCTGCTATTGCTTGTACTTGGCTCTTTACCCGTTTTATACTGTATTCTCTTCCATATTTTTGTGCAGGTTGAGTCGGGGTCTCTTGGAAACAGCCTCCCTACTTCCAAGTAGGGGCAAGGTCTGTGTACACACACCCTCCCGAGACCCTACTGTAGTGGGATTCAACTGAGATGTTGTTGTTGTTGTAATTGTATGAAAATTGCCATTTGAAAAACATACTTCAAATTTGGGTGATAGAAATACCAAAATATTTTTTAATTAATCATTATTTGAGTAACATTATTTACGAAAGACTATTTGAGAAATATATATTAATTATAAATGACCACGTAGGTAATTAAAATTTATTGAAGACTAAATTAGAAAAATATTTTATTACAAAACATCAAGTGTACATAAGGCCGAACTGCCGAATATTTTACTCCATCCGTCCCTAAATATTTACAACGTTTGCTTTTTCAGCGTCGCGAGAACTTTTGTTTATTTCTACGTTTTCTTTGGTTATTTGATAAAATAAAATATTCTTGACACCTTTTATTTCGAAAAACTTTAATGTAGTTTTTTGATATGTAAATTTAATTTTTTATTTCTATACCAATATATAAATAAAATGAATTGAAAAAACTGGATATTTTACCTCGAAAATATAAGTGTGACAAATATTTAGGGACAAAGAGAGTATTTTAAGGAGACTAATGACCCTACAAAATAGGGAGTATTTTAAGAAGACCCTACAGAAAAGACCGAAACAGTGAGGAAGGTAAAGGGGACACTTCCTCCACCAGTCACTCGTTATGATCTCGATCTCTGATCAATTCAATGGCGCTAAGCTGAAAATTGGAGTGGAGTATCATAATCAGATTCCTATTACAGTCACTGGCTGATCTAATCGGGGAAGAAGGCGGAGATGTCGGCGGAAGAGAGTTGCTGCACGGCGAAATTCTCCGTGTACGTATTGGTGTGCATCGGACTGGTGGCGTTCGCCGGTCTCATGGCCGGTCTGACTCTAGGCCTCATGTCTCTTGGCCTCGTTGATCTCGAAGTTCTCAGCAAGTCCGGCCGCCCACAAGATCGCATTCATGCCGGTCTGTTCTTCTATCGCTCTATTGATTTTTTAATTTTGTTTTGTTCTCGAAAGTTTAATCATCTTAGACGTTCAATTCATTCAAGACAGATGGTTTTTAGCTGATATTCTGTCTGCCTTCTGAGGCTAGAAGTATTATTATTTTTGTAATATTAAGTGGTGACGGAGGATTATAGATTGTGATTTGCGATTCCAGAACATGGCTAGATTGCAGGCTTTTAAAATCGCCCAGTGTAATCGTTTTTGTGGGAGAGTATGTGTTCTTAAATCTGGAATTTCACTGTCCTTGTTTCTTTTCAGCTAAGATTCTTCCGGTTGTGAAAAATCAACACCTTTTGCTGTGTACACTCTTGATTGGCAACTCTTTAGCAATGGAGGTTTGTGTTTTACTTGATAAAAGACCAGTAGATCTGTTTCTGTTGCTATTCCCAACTAAAATGACTTTATTTTGTGTGGTCATTTTCATCAGTCTCTTCCGATATTCTTGGACAAGCTTGTTCCTTCATGGGCAGCAATTCTGGTGTCTGTTACACTGATTCTCATCTTTGGTGAGGTATGTATGCTGCAGTTAATAAAATAATCTTCTGTGTTTTGTTCTTTCAAGAATCGTGTGGTTCCTTAACAATACCTTAGGCTGTGTTTGTGAGTTCAGATTTTGCCCCAAGCAGTTTGCACTCGCTATGGATTGACAGTCGGTGCAACGGTAGCACCCTTTGTTCGTCTCCTTCTTTGGGTCTTCTTCCCGATCGCTTATCCAATAAGTAAGGTAATCTGGATGCGCAGAGCATCTGCTTTTAGTATTGTGTTTGTGAGTATTCTACGTTGAGAATTTGTTTATTCATAAGGAATGTCTTACAATTTGTAACATTGTTGTAAGGGAATGAATTTCTCTTGAATAACACATTTTTGTGGTTTAAGTTAAAAGAAATCATACGAAGATGTGTTTAATCATCATTACGTCATGTAATAGAAGTATTATTAAATACAGTACTATTATTAGTTTCCATGTCATTCTATTTCCATTTTATATTGTTACCATATTTACTTTTCCTACTTAAGTTAGAAATCCCTATGTACTCCCTATATATAGGGGTAGAATCTTCATTATTCAGTAAGACCAATTATTATCAAATTGTATCATCATGTATTAAGTACTCCCATTTTGGACAGATACAAAATTACAAACCAAATATATAAGTCATATAGCTAGTCCTAACGGGGTTTGACATTTTAATATCGATTTGTTTTATGTTTCAAGGTTTTAGATTGGATGTTGGGAAAAGATCGTTCTGCCCTTCTGCGCAGAGCAGAGCTGAAAACTTTTTTTGATTTTCATGGAAATGAGGTACGCAACTATATCATATTTGTATGTGTAATTTTACCATTTCATAGATGTGAATTTTTTTTTACTCTCTTATATACCTAATATTGTGCCTAAACTTGCATTTTCATCCTCATTTTTAGGCTGGGAAAGGAGGTGATCTCACTCATGATGAAACAACTATTATTGCCGGAGCTCTTGAGCTCACAGAGAAAACTGCTAAAGATGCGATGACCCCAATATCAAAAGCATTTTCTGTTGATCTTGATGGAACCCTTAATTTGTGAGTTTATGCCTCTAAGTCTCGAACTCCGTACTTGATTAAAATAAGTAATCACTGACCTTTGCATTTCTATTTCTTTCCTTTTTTGTAGGGAGACTCTCAATTCTATAATGACAAAGGGCCATAGTAGAGTGCCTGTATACTATAAAAACACAACCAATATTGTTGGGCTTATTTTGGTATTAAAAAAAAATTGGCACAAGTCAACATGTGTACTTTGTTAGGGATTTAAATCAAGAATTGATTTTTTTCCCCTTCTTTTACTCATGAAAACAGGTCAAGAATCTTTTGGCGGTGAATCCAGAAGATTCAGTTCCTATAAAGAAAATGACCATAAGAAAAATACCTAGGTATCAATACCTTCATCTTTATCTTAAAACCCTATAATGAATGTCCATTTTGTTGATTTTTTGTGTAATGCCAGATTGCCAGTATATTTTATTTTTAATGCACTGCAGTTTTTTGTTTGCAAAACATTTGCAGGGTTTCAGAAAAGATACCTTTGTATGACATTCTAAATGAATTCCAAAAGGGCCACAGTCACATTGCTGTTGTTTACAAAGATGTGAACGAGACAATAGATACCCGGACCAACAAGTTTAAAGGTTAACATTATTCAAAGAAAGCTCTTTCTTACAAGTATGGAACTGCTACATTTGTCTATGAATTTTACCGTCACGTCGTTTCTTTGGTTCAGATGGCGTTGAGAATTCAGGATTTAAATCCATTCCGAATGATGCTGAGAAGGCGACCGAAGATCAAATTCCTGCTTTCAAGAAGAGACACAGAGGTTGCTCGTTTTGTATTTTAGATTTGGATAAAACTCCCATTCCCGAATTCCCTCCTAATCAAGAGGTTGTGGGTGTGATTACCATGGAAGATGTCATTGAGGAGCTTCTCCAGGTGCACAAAAAAAAACAGAGACTACTCTGCCGATTTAGCTCACTCTTACTACTCTGTATAATAAATATATCAATTCATGCCTGTTATTATTTTTTGCTTTTGTTAGGAGGAGATACTGGATGAAACTGATGAATACGTGAACATTCACAACAAGTAAAATTTTGATCTCTATGAAATTTACAACAACAAAAAACACAAATACTAGATGAAGAAGAAGACAGGTGAACAATTTAGATGACCAATGCCATTTTTTTTTCTGTTTTGTTGCACAGGATAAAGGTAAATATGAATGCTTCACAGACAATTCTGCCATCTGGTTCTGCCACTACAGATCCTCCTCAATGATAACCTCAAGAATAGTAGCAGCAAAAGTGTACAGGTTCCTGTGTAAGAAGAAGATGGATGGCAAGAAATTGAACCCCAGGAGTGGTAGGTTCCCTGGGCCATTATTTTGCAAGTTAATGATGCTTTGGTCTGACCTGAAATCTTGAATATACTGGAAATAGAGGAGATATGACTGATGTACAAGTACTAACCTTTTAGGAGTTGCCATTATTTCTTTATCCAGTGAATGCCTCTATAGGTGCATGGGTGTATTCTATCTAGAAATCACAAGCATTTGTAATCTTAGCAGTTTAATACCAGGAACTTCAAAGAAAGGCAGAAATAAGAGAAGTTGATTGTGTCATTTTAATTTGAATAAAGCTAGGGGTACACTATGTACCCAAATGGTGTACAATATTTGTACTCCAAGCAAACACAGACATTCTATGGCCGTGTAGTGTACTCTTTGGCAAAGCATTTTGCATTTGAAACTTAAGGATTTATTGGGTAGGGATGATGCACTAAAGAAGACTGCAAAACAGAATTCCTAAATAAGTAAAATTTGTTGAGTTGCATAAGTTTGAAAAGTATGGAAAAAATGACAAAAAGATGTTGAATACAAAAAAACCAGTGGTTATATTTTTTAGAAGGGAAAAAAATGTTGGATCACAGTTTTTTGTCTTAAAAGTAAAAATTATTTTGGGACGGAATAAAAAAGAAAATGTGAAAAGTTTGGATGTACATAACGGCCCGTTTGGCATCAGCGTTAGAGATTAACGTTTTCAAAAGGTTATTTAATGGTAGCCTTTAACATTTTCAGAATTAATCTACACAATTAAAATTTATCCAAAATGTTAATGCTAATAAAAAATATTGTTCTCAGACAACACCAAGTAACAAGTTTTGTTTTACAACTAAAATCTTTTGAAAGATCATATGAGCGTTGAAAGCATTTCTCTTTTTTATGGCCTACTTGTTACTTCCTCCGTCCCAAAAAAATTTACACGTTTCATAAAAATTACGTCCCACAATCCCTTACCCATTTCTATTAAAAAACCACTTTTACCCCTTACTTTTTCAAACCCTACCTATCACATCATACTTTTTCCTTAATAATCTACACATCACATCATACTTTTACCCATCACATTAAGGGTATTTTTGGAAAGTCAATACAAAATTATCCCTCACTTAATTTCTACTTTAGTCAAAATGTACCCATCTTTATGGGATGGAGGGAGTATTCTTTATATAGTCTAAAAATTGTTTACACGTTCGTACAAATTGTACTTAGTGCATTTTTAAAAACATAACATCTCAAAACACAATATTTATTATGGATGTGCTAGCGTGTGATTTTCTCAAAATATTACTCCTAAAGCTTGGGAAAAAAATGGCTAATCAACAACATTTTCTTGGCAAGAGGTTTGATTTACTTGATTAAAATTCTTCTTAATTACACACACACACACAAATGCTCTCTCCATCACATTTCTTTATCACTTTCCGTATTTGACAAATAGAAATCACTACCAAAAAGACTAAATTAACCCAAGAAAATCTTCTTCAATGCTTTGTTAGACCACCCATTTGATTATTAATTTTTTTCTTCACAATTTGTGGCAAAAAGTGTCATAATATAATAAAAGAAACTCGCACTAAGACAACAATTCTAAAACAAGTGTATGCTCTAAAGTAAATGTATATACTTCTCCGTGTATAGGCTACAAAAATATTCCATATGTCCATAAATACTTCTATTATACATTAAAATATAGAACTTTTTTTGGATAAGAGTAAAAAAATTTTAAAAATATCAAAATATGAGATAATTTTTTAATTCTAACAGTAACAATCACAATCTAAACTCAAATAGTTTTACACAATCTAAGACTTCTATTTAAATGTTTTCATAAGTTTTTCTCATATACAAAGAATTCTTGTTTAAATTATTGTGTTAAAGTGTTGTCCCACATCGAAAGTTCAAGAACAAAATAATCAGTACATAAACTCGTGAGTTAAACTAACTAATCAATTAGATTCAATCTTTTAATATGATTCAACCTAAATATCTTATTGTCTAATCTAATTGTCCATACCCATCCAAAATTCTATCATATTGGACTAATACTATCACTCATAATTTAATTTTTTTAAAACTAGTTTTAGATTAAAAACTAAATCAAGAAACCCATTTGTTCACTCATTTGCAACACTTTGAATTATACTCCCCCGTCCTATAATGATCTTCCTAGAGAACTATTCCAACTTCACAAAATTTATATTTATTTGTCACCACTTATTTTGTTGAGCTTTTAATGTAAATTTTAAATATGTATGTTTTAATTTTTATTTCTATACCAATATTTAAATAAAATAGATTGCAAAAACTTGATTTTTTTTTCATTTTGCGAACCGAGAAGATCGTTATAGGACAGATGAAGTTCAATTTTATTTATCTTTTAACTTGGTGTTGAACAAAATTAAAAACCTTTTACCTAAGAAGGGAGAAAATATTATTTTAAAAAGATGCGTAGTGAAAAGATAAAAGTTACCTCTAAACAATGGAAAGAGTAATACACAGTGAATGAAAATTTAGTCGTCAGTTTCAGCGTGTCAGGGTGGGATCGAACCACCATCCTCTCAAATGAAAATTTGAGCGCTCTTCCAACCCGAGCTCCAGACACAGCATCCATAAGAGAAAATACCAAACAATATGGATTTGAGAATGCATTTTTCTACGTTTATGCACCCATTAGCCCCAATGTACTTTTGGATCAGTTCTCTAAAGAAAATGGAGAAACAAGACTAACTTTACTGCATAAGGCAACCCCTTGAATACAGGGCGATGGAAGTGGAACAAACGTTCGGTGATAAACCACATTTGAGTCCAGTTAACAGTTGTTTGGTGATTCAACCACCGTCTACTATTTCAGTGAAGAACAGTATGCTCTCTGCGAAGTTTGGACCAATACCTTTTACCTCTGCTACAAATACCTAAAAACGGCATACGCCCTCTGCAATGTTTCCCCAACTGGAAAGCCTTACTCTACAAGCTTTTTGTTTTCTCAACAGAAAGAAATTCATTCTAACCATGGTGCACGCATTCAACCATCATCTAAACTTCACAAGATCAGAAATCTTGAATTATGAGAAGGAAAAATAACACATATAGCATATTCATTTAAAAGCAATTGATCAGTAAATTGATAGCCACACAATACTTTGATTCAAAAGGCCCAGAGAGATTATAAAAGCCACCAGAAATAAGACTTCGATTCAAAGTAACTGAACAAAAGAAACATAGGCGAACATAAAAGAGAAATCAACTTTTGATCAATTATAAGCACAATGTGGAAAGCAGGAACTGCTGAGCAGTATCATCCAATAAATGAGAGCCAATCCTGGTCACAAGGGTACACTGTTCTTTCACCAAGCCAACATGAAAGTTGCACAAGACTTCAAAGTTGCTGCATTTATTTTCCAACCCAGCTTATAACATAATCTTTGAATGGACATAATTACAATCTTCTATAACCCAAATGGCATACACAATCACAAAAAAAAGTCTGCATAAATTATGCAAGGACCATCTACTCCAATGATTGCCCTCAAAAGTAATCATAATCAAATCAAAATAAGAAAGTTCTCCATATAATTTCAAGAGAATGATTTTAACATATAACATGCTAAGCCCATAATCTCAATAATAATTGAATGCAAGATTCTATGTTACTTCTCAGTAATAAGTCAATGATATTTACCCGCATAGAGATTATTAGAATGACAATATTACTCCATAAAGGAGACTGTAGAACCAATTCTGCTGTGTTGATGATATTCTTAGTGAGTTTTATGCGCTTAAAGAATTAAGTCACGAAAAGATGTTCAGTAATGAAGAATTTAAAAGAACCAATCGAGAAGAGGATCAAATTTTAGAGTACCTTTTTTAGAGGTGTTAAGAAGTGCAAGTACCTTAGCAGTCAGCTCTTGGTCATTTACTCGTACACAATATGCATTGTCATCGCCAGTCCAATAACAATTCATTCTTTCATTTTGGTGATGGTGCTGATAATGATTCTTGGGTGCAGATCCAGAAGAAATAAAAGTAAAAACGGAGAGAAAGAAGAGAAGTTGGAGGCACACACGACACGAGGAAGGGAGAGCCGGGAAACCCCGTACCATCTCCCCTCCAAAACCAAAAACCAGTACTTTATTCAGATGGTTGACCTGCCATGGGAGCGCACCCACCATGGCAAAGGTCGCTCAGAACAATAGTACCTATGCATCACAATTAAACGATCCCTATCGCCTCGTCTATACCTATATACAAACGCATCATCATCACGCTCTTGCATATTGTAATTAAGAGTGCAACAGATACGGAGTATATCTCAACATAACAATCAATGAACCGTTTTAACCTTGATCATCCAAAGCCATCTTCTTCTCAAGATCTTCCGTTCCAAGCACGATCCCAGTGGCCCAAGCAGGATCCGAGGCGCCCAAGCAGATCCCCAATCAATCTAATATAGTTCCGCAGTCAATCCATGTCCAGATCCCATCATCAACCTGTAATCCACCATAAACAAACAACGATCTAGAACATCGAACATGAGTAGATGAAATCAGGCAAGAAGAAAAGGGAATACAAAAAAACCACCTGATGTAACCGGCAGTCGAGCACCGCTGCATAAATTCCGGCGATCAGATCTGGCTAATCCTCCGAAGAACATAATCGAAAAATATAAATCAACAGAAAATAAGATTGAGATGAACATATTGAATTGAAATTCCATAGATCTGGTTAATAAAAAACCAGACGGCTATCGACTTCTGTTGAAGAGGATGATTCATAGCCTTCAGAGGTCGCGGTATTTATTGCGGGAGCGGAGGGATCGAACGGCTACGATGAGAAGAGATTTTGGTGGATATTTTAACGGTGAGATTTGCATTGGCGTTTGGCTTCCAGGCGGTGATAGGCTTTCAAGAAAAAGAATTATTCTACGCTTGTTAAAGGAGATATATATTCTTTATTCGGGCCTCACAGAGCCAGCATTGTTTACACACCAAGCAGCCCAAGTAATCACCACGGCCCAACAAGGGTGGTTCTAGATTTTTCCGCTCGGTAGTAGTTGCTGGGGACGAAATGCTTTGCTTGTACACTTTTACTTTCTACATTTTTTCGTTTTTGATACTTTTGATCACAATTATATAAAAAACTGTCAAACAATTGTAACAATTGTTTATTTAAAACTATATTTCTGTTATGAAATTAATGATTGTTCATTTATTCAATTAATCAGACATAATTTCTAGAATAGTAGATTAAGACACCCATTGATGAGGTTCAATTTAGTACAGTCCTTCCCACTTGTATTTGTATTCATACTA